AATAGCAATTAACCATGAACCAAAATAACATTTATCAAAAATTAGCCCTTATCCAAAAACAACTGAAAGGGATTAAGAAAGGGACCTATAATTCTTTTCAAAAATATTACTATTTCACCGAAACTCAAGCCCTTCGAGGCATTAAACCTCTTTTGGAACAGCATAAATTAACCCTGACTTTTAGTGATAATCCCGAAAGTTGTGTCATGGAAAAAGGAGAAAAAGAATGAGTCGTGAAGTATTTAAAAAAAGCCGTCTTAACTAACCACGAAAATCCCTCTGAACAATTAACTTTCTATTTTTGAGCCCTGGGGCAAAATACGGACATAGCCAAAGCCAAAGGCAGTGCGGAAACTTACTCGATTAAGTATTTTCTCACCAAGTTCTTTTTAATTCCCACAGCCGACAATTTAGACCCCGACCAAAAATAGCCATGAGTAAATTTCAATTCGATTACTGAAAAGACCAATTATGAAAAGCCGAAGGAGGAGAATATGTGTTTATTTCCGACCGACAGAAATTTATTACTCGTTATGCTGGTGTAGGATTTATTTTGGACCCTGCCAAGCCTAGTCATTGAATAACTTTTACTTTTTACGAGCACCGAATCCGAGTTTTTTATAAACAAGTTCTCCCTAATGAGAAGGTTATTTATTACCGAAAGGACCTCAACAGCCCACCCGAAGCAGGTAAAATGATGGTGGTAGAATTGACGGGAGACGATATCATAGAAAAAGTAAACGGCAAATGAGTTAAGAAAAAGGGTGGAGAAGATTAATTATTTTTCGATTTCTGGTGATTAGTAGAGTTCGTAATGAACTACCTGCTACGGGGGATTATTCGTAGAGCAGGTCCTTTACTATTAATTGCCAGAAATGGGAGAATGATCTCCCAAACAAAACAATAGCGAGTTAACTAAAAATCAGCGTAGCATTTACTGAGTGAATGTCAGGTAAGAGTGCTTCATTTTCAGTAGATGAATAAACGAATTAGCCATAAAAAAGACCAGTTTTGAACCTCGGCAAGAGGTAGAACAAAAATTGGCTTGGTTTATTGGGTAAACTTGGTGAATAATTAGGAGTTGATTTTTAACCTTGCCATAAATGAGATAAGGCCAATTATAATTTTAGTCTTTTCCGAAGGCAAGCAGAGGAGGAGTATAGCATTTTTTT